CAGTGAATATATATGTCCAAAGTTCATAACGCTAACGCAAGAAGAAAATCTTTTCTGGTGTTCAGAAACTCGAAATAAACCCGTAATTAGTCAATAGTTATTAACTGTACTAGAACTCGTAGAAATAAAATTAATAGATTAGATTAGATTATGCTGGCAGGCCATAAAGGCCACGCTTAGACCACTAAGGTCCATTGCGATACCAGATCAGAGTCTTGTTTTAGCGATTGTAAGCATCACTTAAGATGCGCGTTTCATTAGCAAAATTTATTAAGATTCCAACAGAAACCTCAGGTATGTACTCCAGTCCTGCAAAACTGAAAGCTCCCAAGTATTTTTGTCGAGTTCTCGAGAGAGCCGGGCAATTACACATCAGATGCTCTAGAGTTTCCTTTGCATCCGGCTCATTGCATTTTCTGCAAGCATCGTTGTGAATTAGGTTTAGTTTTCGGGCATGTGATGCAACCAAACAGTGACCTGTCAACACACCAATTAATGTTCTACAGTTCCTTCGGTTTAACGATATAACATTCTTGGTGTATTTTTCTTCGTATATGTGTCTACACATAATTCTAGCTGTTCTACAGGTGGTTAAGTTCCGCCACCTTACCTTTGCTCTCCTTATCATGTGCTCGTCCAGAAGTATAAAATTAATTGGAACAATAAAATTTCTTTTGGGGTTTTTAAACATTTAATGGATAATTAGAGATCTCAATATATCAAAAACAAAGTCACAAATATAAAGAAACTCCCAGACTTCAGTATGTTAGCGATATTTTTATATGAAAATATTACTATTTATAATTCTGAAGAGAGTTAAAATCGTCAGATATTTTAAAAATATCATTAAAACATAAAAATAATTGCTATATAATTATTTCACGAAATCGTTTTTTTAAAAACACATGATTTTAAATTTATTTATTTATTAAATGTAATTGTATTAAGACTTATAAAAAATTTAAAATGTGAATGAATATTTATTACCGCCAGTTGATGACAATGAGGATACTCATTCAATTGAATCTTTTTTATTTACTTTTTCAAATAATCTTTGCTCAGAAAATGAACAAAAAATGTTTGATTTTCATAATCCAAAAAAAATGAAAACAAAAACGAAAAAAACGAAAAAAACTCAGTACCCACCTCATCTAAACGATCCATTTTTCTCATCCATAAGCACTAGTGGCATTTGTGTGTCTTCATTTGCATAACTCTTGCTGCAATTCTTAAAGTGGGACAAATTTCATATAAGAATATAAAGAAAAATATACCAAACTTATTAGTAAAATTGTCTCGTCATATTGTTGGATGACATTGTGTCAGTTTCTGTTTTGATTGCTCAATGATTCCCACCTACTTGTGCAGTGGCTGTCATCACATGGACACACGCTATGCACACTTTTTATTATTTATCTGCGCAATGGAAACACGAGTATCTGTT